GGAGGAAAAGCAAGTCTTTTGTAGATGTTCTTTGTTTTTAGCACCCCTTTGAGAGAGTATTTGTGTGAGGGATCTGAGAGTTTGTGAGAGGGTTTTATTTGTGAGATTGTAAACCCTATTTGTATCTCTCCCTCTAATAGTAGATCTCCCCCTCCTTGCCCCGTGGACGTAGGCTATTTGCCGAACCACGTAAAATTTGTGTTATTATCGTGATTTGTAATAGCTTGTAGGATCCCTCGACGCGCAGTCCTAGAGCTGACGAGAGGAAGAGCTGATATCTCACTTTGATGAGATATCTGGCTTTCGGTTCTTGTTTCCTTTGAGAAGCGAGAATTCCGTTGTGATCTAATCTCTTGTTGTGCACCTTGCGCACCGGAGGTGCTGCCGAAATTTCCGCTGCGCACAACAAGTGGTATCAGAGCTCCAGGTTGGATTTGGGAGCTTGTTTGAAGGATTCGCTGAAGGATTCCTATTTGAAGATTAGATCGACAACATGGGAGAAACAAGCACATCGGGATCGTCTCTTTCGAAGGCGATACAGAGTCTGAGCATCAATAATACAAAGATTGATGTTCCGAAGTTCGACGGCAAGATCAATTTCGGTTTGTGGAGGTGTCAGGTGATGGACGCCTTGGATGCACAAAATTTGGAGGAGACTCTTGAGTTACAAGAGAAACCCGCTGATATGGAGGACAAGGTTTGGAAGAAAATGAATAGTAGGGCTTGTGGAGTTATTCGGTCATGCTTGACGCCGGATCTTATTTATGACGTAATGAACGAGACGTCGGCGAAGAGAATGTGGGAAACACTCAATGAGAAGTATCTGACGAAGAGCATTGAGAATCGGTTTCACTTGAAGAAGAGGTTTTACCAATTCAAGATGAAGAGGGGAGTTTCCATTCGGGAGCATGTTAACAACTTCACGAAGCTAATTTCGGATATGGCCAATGTAGATATCATGGTTGAGGATGAAGACAAGGCGATGCTACTATTGTGTTCGTTGCCGGAGGATGATTTTGGAACGTTTGTTCTCACTATGATAAATGGAAGAACTACGGTTAGCTACAAGGAGGTGACCTCAGCTTTGGTGAATTATGAGTTGAGGAAGAGTGATGGCGAACCCTCCGAGAAGGCATCGGGAGATGCATTAGCAGTTCGAGGCCGTGGTCCAAACCGTCGTCCAGGTGATCGCTCAAGATCGAAGTCAAGAGGTGGCCATAGAAATATTGGTAGGAATCAATGTCGCTTTTGCAAAGAAGAAGGACATTGGAAGAACGACTGCCCAAAGTTGAAAGATAAAGCCGGGAAGAATAAAGGGAAAGCTGTACAAGCTTCGGAAGTGAATGTTGTCAAGGCTAGTGATGACAATTCAGATACGGATTCTTCAGGCTATTCTTGCTCTGCATTACCGTCAGTTTGTTACGCTGACTCTACGGAGTGGATGATGGATTCTGGTGCTACATATCATATTTGCCCTAGGAGGGATTGGTTCTCCAGCTTTGAGGAGTTGGAAAGAGGGGATGTCGTACTCATGGGTAATGATCACGCATGCCCTATTGGTGGTATTGGTACAGTACGGATCCGAATGTGTGACGGGGTGACTCGGGAGCTGAAGGAAGTGAGATTCGTTCCTCAATTGACGAAGAATATCATTTCGCTTGGAACTTTGGAGGCAGCTGGCTATAAGGTGATCTTGGAGAATGCATGATTTTGAGCGGCTGTTTTGTGCAAACCGAGGAGAAAAGGCAGCGGCTAATTTTGAAAGCAAAGTCCTTTGTTTATTGTTCTTTGATTTGTGTACCCCTTTGAGAGAGATTTTGTAAGAGGGATTTGAGAGTTTGTTTGAGAGGGTTTAGATTGTGAGATTGTAAACCCTAGTTGTATCTCTCCCTCTAATAGTAGATCTCCCCCTCCTTGCCCCGTGGACGTAGGCTATTTGCCGAACCACGCAAAAGTTGTGTTCTTGCTGTGATTTGTAATAGCTTGTAGGATCCCTCGACAGGTCAGTCCTAGAACTGATGAGAAGAAGAGCCGATATCTCACTTGGTTGAGATATCCGCTTCAGATTCTTGTTTCCTTGGTGAGACGGGAATTCTTATCGATCTAATCTCTCTTGTTGTGCTGCCGAAGTGCTGCCGAAATTTCCGCTGCGCACAACACGATCCACATCCAATTTTCAACTTGAGGGACCAGACATCTTCAGATTAGAGAAAATAGTACCTTGAGTTATCTCATGTGCGGGACGGAGCAACAAAACTAAGGAAGTATATCATGATCTTTAAAACATGTAATTATGGATAATGGTTTGGAAATATATCTAGTTTCAGTTCTGGATCATATCATAGCATTATAAGATGGTGCTTGTTACTCTGGTTTTTCATTACGATAGTTTTGTATGTAACTATGATGTTATCGCCCATTATCCGACTTATTTCATGTTTTCGAAATTTTTTATTATGCAACGAAAGAGGTCTTCGTATCCACCAACGACGCTACTTTAAACTGTATGAGTTCATGCATTAATTCTACATTTTCTTTATTTTTATGTATTCTATATACTTCTCATATTTCTCGTGGTATTGTTGGAGGATGTCCAAACGTTTTCAACTCTACCCATATGCTACACCTACACAAGCGCCAGGTCAAAACCATTTTCAGTCGGTTTGCGGATTAAGTGGTTTTTATTTGGGACCTATCTGTATACATTAAAAATTTTCGAAGTTGAAAAGATGTTTACGTGTATTATAACTTGGCACACAAATAAAGTTTCAAGAGAGGGTTTATAAAAAAGACTCGTAAAAAGAAGTAATGACCATGAGCAGCAACAAGAAACCTATATTGTAAATGACTCGTGCATTTTCATGTATATATTTGTAAATGAATGCCTTTTGTTCTCCTACAGTTTCATGTATGTATGCATACATCACTTTGAAATCTATATACCACGAAGTTTAAGCCATAGAGACTTCAAGACAAGACATCACGAGCCACAGCAAACCAGGATCGTTCCTCTTCAAGACCAAATAAGTTTCTCCTCTTCCAACCTCGTCCAACACAAAGTCCTCGCAGAAGCCAACGATAGTGATAATCTCCATAGCAGCTGTTGAAGAAAACTGCATTAGTTATAAGATCCTTTCGAAGAAAATCAACTAGTGTAAGTGACCCTTGCAAATGACTAAAGGAATGAGAAGCTTACCTTTGTAATTCACCACATTCTTTTGAATCTGGGGATTGGACTGCAAGTTCAATGGGAGCTGTAAGAATTCTTCTTAAAAAAATTGCAAAACCGCGTATATCACAAAATCTTAAAAAATGTAACAGTACCATACCTTCCTTAGTTTTCTGAACTTCATCTCTTCTGGATGTTCAATCACATTCCTGAACACAAAACAAATCTCAGAGATAAAATCTGAAGCGAAGCATAAAATAAATAAATAGTGAAAACAGAACATAAATAAACCTGATAATCTTGATAAGTAATTGAAGGGCTGAGGTAGCGTCCAATGATGTTGCTTCAGATCTTAGCCTATCAATAGCTCTCTGGATACGTGAACAAATAGCTGCTCCAGGCTCCTCAATTACTTGCAAATCATCATCAGGATCAGGCTCGACTTTCATAACCCCATCTAATGCTGAATTATTAGAATTTAAAACTATTTCAGAACCGCTACCAGGATCAGGTTCCATGAATTCATTTCCAGGCTCAGCTTCTGTTGCTCCACTGGATTCTGAATTATTAGAACTTGTAACTACTTCAGAACTGTCCTCAGGATCGGGCTCCGTTTTTCTCATCATGGCGTTTGATGCTGAATCACTGTAATTTGAAACTACTTCAGAACTGTCATCAGGATTGGACTCCACAACTTTGTCTCCCGTCATTTTTTGATCAGATATACAATCGTCAGGATCAGGTTCCGGCACATTTCTGGGATCTGAACAGATCACTGTGAAGTCAGATTCATCAGAATCCGGGTCTGCAACTTTAGCTGTTTTAATAACTCGCATGCCACATCCATCAATGAATCTCATAGAATTAAAAAGATCAGACTCAACCATCATCTGATTATCAATATCTAAAGAAGAATCGTCAAGGTCGGGCTCTTCATAGTTTTCAATCATCAAAGTATCATCAGGGTTTGACTCAGCAGTTGTCTTCTCCACAACTCCTTTCAGTTCACTGTCATCAGGATCAGGTTCTAGTGTTGCATCAGATAAACTATCGGACGCATGAAGCTCTTCAGAAGGGGCATTTAAGAAGCGACTGTAAGCAGCAGCCACTGAAGATGCTCTCGCACTACCCAATGAATTAAAAGTTCCTCCAAGCTTTTGACCAGAGCTAGAACTGCTTACTCCAAGATCTAGCTCCTGCTCATAATGATCCGAGATCTTGCGACCAGTAAGGGTGTGACTCCTTGATTTCGTCCAGTCCAAGGTAGCAGCTTCCTCATTCAACTGAATTTAAAACAAAACCATCAGTGATCTATGCATGCAGATGCTGTTTGCTACAACTGTACATGCACATAATTATTACCTGTTTGTTTAAAGCAAAGAAGTTGGCATCATGTTCAGAGTGAACCATATGGGCCTGATATTAACAAAAAATAAGAAGAAAAAGAACAAGTCTAAGCATGCTTGACACAAAAGAACTTACAACGATTAAAAGTAGTTACCCAAGTAGGTAACAAGCAAGTCAAGCTATTGGAAAAGTTCTTACTAGTTCATGCAACAGAGTCTTTTTTATGCTTTGATATTTCCTAAATCCATTAAGATCATCTGTTCGAAGGCGAAGGGATATCTCCTCTCCTTGATTCTGCACCAAGTTGGTAATGTCAAAATTTGTTCGAAAAGTTCTCTTTTTTGTGTATTCAATTTCAATCTGTACTTTCCATGCAGGGTCAACTGTGTTTGTCCATTTATCAATTACACGTTTCAAAAAAAATGTGACCAGTAAAAGAGTACCTTATTGAAGCCTAAAATGCATTTAGGACTGATGCCTACATATCCCACGGGTGCCATTTCAGTCATAATTCCTACCCGCCAATGGTGCTGAGAAAGGAGGGGCAAAAAATTTGATGTTAGAAGCTATAACTGAAAGGTGGAGACACCATTATGGGAAGGAAAAACTGTCACCTTATTCATAATAGCAATGATTCCACGATCAGATGCAAGCATGTGCATTCTTCTCAGTGCCTCAGAGGGTGGAGGATTCAGCTGAAGTCAATGCTAAAGTAAGTACACATGACAGTAATCAATGTGAACTATTATTCACCAATAACTAAATGGATAACTTTAGTATTACACTAATAAAAACTTGCAGAATACACTTCCTTCAACAATCACAGCTAGTTTGTTTATTACCATCAACTAGAGAGAAAGGAAAAGAAAAACTAACCTCAATTCCTGGAAGGTGAAGCGTGCGGAAACTACAAAAGATGTAGGCTCCTTGTGGAAGTTTCAACGAAGCTTGTGCATTGTGCAAAGATCGATGTCTCAATCGCTTTTCCTCTTCATCAAATCCTACTATCCTTAGATCAGATTTTATACTTGTTTCTGAAACCTCCTTGACCTCATTATCAAAAGCACCCATCATTCTGATTGCTTTTCCCTTTAACAAAAAAAAAAAGCCTCAACTTTGCTGCATATGGAAAAGGCATACCAAAGACCAACACAATATGATTCCTATAGTAGGAAATTTTAATTAAGAAAAGGCTCTTGCATCAATAATTGTTGTCACCTATACATACAAGTAAACTTTTCTAATCTATCATAACTTGTTGGTTCCCTGCACCTGAATGGCAAACTAGGGAATCACATGTTTTTGTAGACGCCTACTATATACATATACATATGTCCAGACCTCCCAAACAGAAAGTGTTCTACTGTTCTAGTATGGCATGTAAAATGGTGCATATCATTTGCACAGAACATACTGCTAACACGTACCTAGATTTTCTAACATTGTCTGGTTACTAGCGTACAACTAATAACTTATCCATAAATTCAGATTACGACGTTAAGTTACCTATTACAATTTTCAAAGAACCTGGCAGGATTGTTCGAACATAGGTATATTAGACAATTCTCAAAATAGCTCTTCAGGGGATACATATAGATACTGTATGGCATGAATATAAGCTTTACCTCAATAATAGAAGCTTCTGTCAAGCTCCAATGAGAGTGCTCATCAGAGAATGGGTAGATCAGCCTTGAACTTTTGCTTCTAGATTGTGGGACGAGAAGCTTCAGTGTATCAGATTTGACATCAGTTAACTTCCGTAGCTTGTCTCCAAGTTCGTGGACCTTGGAGGTTCGATCCACCTCCACTTTCAGGTGTTTTCCCCTCCATATGACTAAAATATTCAATTTGTCCTGCTGTCCCATGCTTGCAGATAGAACTAGATGTAAATGTACAACACAGTATACACCTAAAATCAGTTTATTCTTTTCAAATTGCAGAAAACATCCTACTATATTTGCTATAAACTCACGACAAAGGCCAATATAGTGAAGATCATGGCAGTACTGTGGATGGAAAAAAAGTAATAATAACAAGTTCTAAATCAAAACTTGATTTGAAGTTTGCTTGTGCTTAATTCTGCAAGTAAAGCAATTAGCCCCCCCCCCCCCCCCCCCAAAAAAAAAAAAAAAAAAAACAAAAAACCCCCCACCCCAAAAAAAGGAAAATATATACATAAATAAAAAATATAAGAAATTAAATAATAAAATAATAATAACATAATAATATAATAATAATAAAATAAAATAAATGGAAAAAGTAATAAGACCATAGTCTTATGAAGTTAGTTCCTGCACGCAAGTTTTCAGTGCAATTCAAGTAACATGCAGCCAGGCTTATTGAGGCGCGCGCCTCGGGCGCGCCCCGGGCGCGAGGCGCTTCGGCCTGGGGGAAATGCGCCCCACACGCGAGGCGGGGCGCTGCACGCAGCGAGGCGCGCGCCTCGCGTGCGCCTCACACCTGCGTTATGTAACATATTCTTTCTTCTATTTTTTTAAATAATTTACATAATTACATATTTATATCATGTAATATACTCTTTCTTACTAGTTGCTAATCTATTTTCATCTTTTCATGTTTAACCTATAAAAAGGAAACAATAATTAGTAATTTAGTATACTTGTTTGCTAATTGTAACTTCATTCTCTAATTAGCATGCTAACTAGCAAATTATAAACATGTAAATATGTAATTGTTACATTCATTCTTCATCTTTTCATGCTAAGTAGCAAATATCAATTAAGAATATTAACTAGAAAATTATGAACAGTCATGTTTGTTAATTATATTTCTTAGTCTTTTATGTGACAATTTATAAACATATGCTCATAATTGTTAATCACTTAATTTGATGATTTAAATACATGTTTTTTGTATCTTTTTTATTACTTTAAAAATTCAGTTAGCATAATTTGATGATTTAAGTTGATATTCTCATAATTTTGGATGTAGGTAACTAATATGTTGCTTATATGTTTCTGTCTTATGATGTTGGTAAATATTAGTTTGAGTTATGCGCCTCAATTAGTGAGGCGCGCGCCTTGTTGTGCGCTTTGCGCATGGTGCGCGTAAGGGACCTTTGCGCCCCGCATTGCGCTTTGCGCCTCGATAACACTGCATGCAGCAAAGATACCCGCAAAATTAAAAACTATTTTGCTCGTGATGCCAAAGCAAGGACAAGGCTCTCCCTCCCTCCCTCCCTGATCAAGGCAAACTTGAATAGTACCTAACTGGTATTGAGGATGCAAGGGTCCGGCTAACTTCATCCTGGAGGAATCAATGGGAATATCCAGGCTCCTGGATGCATCTTATAATAAGCATGGTGTACATCTAAATTGCGGACATCTTTAGATGACACAAAAGGTTGCTAATTGTTCAGGAGGCAGGAGGTTACTCCAACCAAATGAGTAAGAAAAATACTAACTGGTGGCAGGATGTAAGCAGCTGGGGACTCTGGTTGGTATAGGAACTTACACATGGCCAAAGACAGCTAGTAAAGGAAGCTACATTATGGTAAATAGGAATTTAGCCTTCTCTATACAATTGCAAATAAAGAAAATCACCTCCTTCAGGCTTGGGATCCACAAATCAAACCATGAATTAATCTACAATAATGATCGAACAATATAAGTTTAGCTTCTGTTTTATTTTGTGCAATAAACTACTCACAATATCTTAAGACCCAATTGGAAAATTCTGACCCTTTACCATAGGGATACTAGAACAAGGGCTTGCATGATGCGTAAGAAAATCTACCACAGTATGGACCTAATTGTTTTGAGAGTTGTTGAAGAACTGTTTAAAAAACCACATCGCACAATCTTATATTGTTGCAGTGCCCAAAAGAGAGACAAGCTATTACTAGGATATTGTGAGGTCCATAAATCAAATAGCAATGTCATTATTAAAATTAGGTTAATAAATTTCTCTTCAATAGTTTTTATTATTATTATTTATCTAAAAAAATACCAGGGCCTACATGTTATTAATAGAGAAGAATATTGAATTTGCAAATATGGGAATACAGAGAGATATCAGGTTAAATGCTTAATGTTTCGACTTAACGAGTTCAGATTTTTCTATTAACTTTGAGCAAAGTTCTCATTGAACTCTCATAATGAAAATAAAGCTACTTAAGCAGACAACGCATATATGAACCCCGAGGCAGCAAAAAGGGGAAAAAAAAGGAAAAAAGAAAAAGAGGACTCTTACAACTTATCTTCTTTATAAAAGAGGAGTATTGTGCATAAACATGTCATAACTGTTATTGGTGACCTAGAAGATGGCTCTTGCTACTTACCTTCTTGGTAAAAGACATCATCAGACATAAACGTGTCATCTCTTATACAAGACCCCTCGGAGAAAAATAGCTACAAGATGGCTCTTACAACTTAGCTTCTTATGAAAATGGGCGATAATACATAAACATGTTATCTTTGTCATCATAAGCACAACCTTAATAATACAATCATTCATTCCAGCACCTAATTTTGTATACCTTTAACTCCTCCAAGACCCTCTTAAACTTGTTATGTCCAAAAAAATATGCAGCGGGGGGGGGGCGGGGGGCGGGGTCTCCTCTATGAGGGATTTAAGAAATGCCTGCTCACTTAATTAAATCTCCCCAAATTAGGATTAATATAATCAAACCCGTTCCGTTTCACAATCATCATTTGCTAGACCATCACAAAAATAGAATTTCAACGCAATTAATTCAACAACAAATTCACGGGAAAGACTCAATTCTCAAAAACAAAGTTGACAGCTTGCCTAATCAATACCTTGCCCTTAGCTAAACGAATTTACAATTATCGCATGGAAATGATCAAAACTCAAAAGAATTAGCAAAGGGAAAAGTAATTCCACGGGGGACTCGTGATTTTTTTGCCCACCTCTCCAAGAAAGAATCAAAATTTTCTGTAGAATTTGGCATAATCGAAGGGTTAGGGTTAGGGTTTAGGAACGAAAAAAGGGTGAAGGGAAAGCGGTAAGCTTACCTCCGAATCGAGTTCCGGTGGTAGAATCGAAGCCTGATGCCGGAGTTGGATGTCTCCCGATATAAACAGCGGTGAAGAAAGAAATGATTTGGTGTGGTCACCTTCGGTGTGTTTAAGAGCCCAAGTTTTCGGCAGAACTCGGCGTGCTTAAAGGAGGGGGAAGGGTATTTTCGGCAGATGCGAAAGTGGGTAAGCTTTGAATTCAGGTGATTTCACGCTTCGATCGGTTGGGGGTATTGACTCGTTGGCGGGTACGATTACCAGGGAGAGGAACATTCTAGAATATAATACTGCGCATTAATTCTAGTTATCTTCTTGTGCTTTAACCCGTTTGCATAGTTTCTTATATGTAAAGAATTTTCCTTAGTTCACCCCCATTAACATAAAATTTGTTCCTCCTCCAAATCGAG